CCCCAAAACCCCAAAACCCCAAAACCCCAAAACCCCAAAACCCCGTTAGCTAAGCATTTGGGACATAAATTAAGTAATAATATTTAGATTAGTAAAATAATTTATTGGGAAAAGAATTTAATATTTAAACTAGAAATGAAGAACATTAATAATTAGCCGACTGCTTTTTAATCAACCTAATAAATTACTGACTTGAAGATAGCATAGAGTATACTGAGTAAGCAAGAAATAAATTAAGCACAAAATGATACTCAGGCTAACACATCTAATGAATATCTTTCAAACTTAAAGTTTTCAGATCCATTAGTCCACAACATTAAATGTAGTTGTTTTATTTTGATGAACGTATTTTTAGAGATTTGTGGCGAGATTGACATAAATATTGAAGAAAGTACTGGACTAATATATGAAGATGATTTGGAGCAGGCTTAAATACATATGCAAATAGCTCTTAAAAAACTAAATGTAATTCTACCCAATAATCAACATTTAGAGTGCTGCACCACTGTTCGAAAAATTGAATTAAAAAAATCAGAATATTGCAGGTGGCCCAAGTACTCTTAGTGCCTCAACTGACAATAATACAAATAACAATACTAATGGAGGAGCTGTTGCGTTATACAATGAGCAATTATAAAAAATTTACAGCGTTGTAATAAACTATAACTTGGCTGCCTGTTATTAAAGGTAAAATTACACTCTACAAGTATTTATAGGCGAGGAATATTTAAAGAGAGTCATGAGTACATATCGAGGTCTATAGAATCACTAAGACAACTTACTATATTTTAATACTCAACAACCTCAACTTAAGGTGAAACTACTTCGCATAGATATAAGTAGCTTCTCTATCTTAGATATTATGCACAAATTATCTTGCAGAGTTGTGCCATTAAGTCATAATTGTAGGACCATGATGGAGCCTTAAATAGTGCATATGATGGACTAACCTCCTGCATTAAAGTATTTAAAAGGAGTCTTGACTTGTGTGAATCAGAGATTCTAGAGAAAATGAATAATAAATAGTCATCTTCTAATAAAAGTGGAATGGGTGATGTTCCAATAGTAAATACTTAAAACAAGATGGAAATTGAGAGTATAAATTCAGAATACGGAGTAGTTGCTGAGCGAAGAAGGACTTAAATTTCAGGTTAAATGCTTAAACCAGAAATTGTCCTCCATAAAGCAAGAAGTGGGAAATCAATGTCATCAAAGAAATCCCCTAGTTCTATTGATTAGCACAAATACCAAAATAACATCTTGAATGCAAATAATCATAACTAAGTATTTTAAAGCAACGCATCTAAATCATCAGCTGGATCATCTAAGAATTCAACACCTGAAAGAAATTCCAGATCAGATAATAAAAGTGTCACTAGCTCTTAAGGAAGGATTAAATCCAAAGAGCTAAGAAAACACTCCTTGACTTCTAGTGTAAAATTTCATTTGAGTGAAAGTGAAGACGATCAAACTTCTCTTGAGAGAATACATACCTTCAATCTAAAGATAGATCATAATAAATCTCAATTATCTGAATCTAAAGAAGCGAAGAAAAAGTCTGATAAAAAAAAGAAAACTGGGCAAATCAAAAGTCTGAGAACGCTTCTAAATCTTAAAGTCCTTAAGAAGGAAACATCCTAATCTACAGATAACAAAGGGTCGGAAACTACTTCAACTTCTTAGCTTTAAACACAGCTATAGTCTTTGTCAACAAGAGATAATATTAAAGGTCAGCACAATAAAGAGGAATAAAAAATTACTCTTAAAAACTAGAAAATGAGACAGTGTTATGTGGAGGAATAAGCAAAGCTAAGAGATTCATTCATGATAGATTCTTATAAAATCTTAAAGTCCTTAATAAAAAACATTGAGAATTTGATGGTTTATATCACAGGCTAGAGGATTTAATAATCTGTTTTCTTAAAAGAGAGGGACATAATAGAGGAGGGATTAGAGTGTAATAAGGATGGCCTTGCATATGAAATTACTAAGCAGAGAATGGCAAAATTATTTAGAGAATTCGAGAGTATGAGTTAGATTGAATAGCTTCGTAAGGTAGAAAGATATAAATATGTGGGGCGAAATATGCTAGGAGTTAGAAAATTTGATGATTGGATTAATAATCTTGAAATTGGAAATATTATGCATCTAAATCCAATTACAACATAAGAATTAATGTAGAATATTGGGAAACATCATGAGTTTTAAAAGGATCCAATGCTTAAAAAGCTCGTATTGTTGTCAGTTTCCTTATTCTCTATTGCTACAGAAATGAGAATGATGGTACAATTCGATGATAAAGATAAGGACACGAAATTTTAACTATAAGAAGCTTCAGAAATTTGGCATGCATAGTCTGTCTTCTTTGGAGCATATTATTTACCTCCCAACTGCCCTCTTGTTACTCATATCTCTAATAGCTACAATAAGCACTATATAGTAAATAAAAAGCCGAATCAAGCAGCTTAACAATAGCAAAAATAGAATCCTCCTTTGATATTTGGTCAGAAAAAGGACTCATATCAGAAAAATAAAACGCTACAAAATTTTTTAATGAACTAGACTACAATATAGTAAGTGCCACCAAAAATAAACTTAAATAGTACTATATCTAATAGAGATCTTAGCTATAATACTGGTGGAGGAGGTAGTTCTTCCTATGAGAATAATACATCTGATAATCAAGACCATTAGGTATTGAATGATTAATAGAAATAAAGACCTATAGTATCATTAGCATCAATTAGTCCGATGCAGGTGATAGGTCTAAGAAATAAAAAAGACAAGTTCAAAATCTAGCTTAAAAGATCTATGAATAACTCTCATAAATTTTAATCAGAGTCCTCTGTCAGTCCTATTAGATAAGAAAATGAAGAAGCATTAGCGATTGAAAATATGAAAAGGCAAAGATATGAAAAACTTTCAAAGTATTTATAAAACAAAGAAAAAGAGTAAATGAGACAACAAAAAGCTAATTATTAGCCTAATATCGACATCATTGATACAGAGCAAGATCACATTATTAACATAGGAAAGATGATTTCAGATCCTTAACTTAAATAAAATACTTAGAGCAATATTGTTAGCTAAAGCAATTCAAATAATAATAGTAGTATGAATGCTTAGAATATAAATAACATTGCCATCAACTAAATAAATTCAATCAATATCTTTCCTCAATCCTCTAAGCAAAATAAACAACCAATAGAGCTTAATATTCAAGGTAATCAAAACTTGACTAATTAGCAATAAAAGTTAGCTCTCATTAATAACTTGCTTCATGATGAGATGAAAAAACTGATAATTCCTGCACCTAAATAATCTAATAAACATAATGCACCTATGAACAAGACATAAATTTAAAGTAGTGTACACAAGTAAAATAACTTGAATCAATTGATGAGCTTTGGAAGCTAGACTCGAGATGGCAGCAATGGTACCAAGAAGAAAATAGCAAATCCTTAGTAATTTAACAGACCAAGTACTTCAAAGGGGGAGTCAAATAAGTCAAAGATTATCAAAAAATAGCAGCTCTTGATGAAGACTTAGCTCACACCTAATCGAGCTATATCAAGGATGAACTAACCCTCAATCAATGAAAACCTTGGCTTAATATTATCAGCATCTGGTTAGAGTAAAAATCTATATCTGCCAAATTAACTTAGATCTTAAAGAATTGCTGATTCCTCCTAAGAAAAGAATTTCCAGCCTAACATTTTTACACAAACCCTAGATCAAGGAACTAATCAAGCCAAGGTTAATAATTTCTTGAATGAGAATGAAAATTAAGTTCATAAAATTCCATTAACTGCTGCAAACAGCCAAGGAAAATACGACTCTAATTTCAAAGAGGCTTAAGCCTAACATTAGAGTGCTATTCAATAAAAACTCTCTGCAACTGCTCAGTTTAGGAATAATAATCTGCAATAGTACTTCGAGGACTGGACTAGAGAGGAAGCGACTAATAGCCCAGCCTTAAGACTAAGAAAGCCAGATTAACAACATAATAGGAAATTTTGATATAAATCACTCATTTATTCATTCATACATAGATATATTCAGTCAGTTAAGTTGAATTCAATTATTTAATATCTCTTTTGATTATATTATCAAGAATTTATTTTAGGGGTTTTGGGGTTTTGGGG